TTTAATTAGGTTCCCAGAGGGCTCAGTGGAGCCAAACTGATGGGAAAGAATTAGCCAACAAGCAAATAAATGGTATAGTTAGGCATTATACTGCTACATGTCCATGAAATATGTGGAGACACTGATTCAAAGTCTGTATTGTTATGCTGGGGTAAATTCCCACTTGTCTTGTGAGCAAGCTTACCCTCAGACAAGCTCTAGTCCTTTGTGAGAAATTGATGTTTGATTATTATCTCACAGAATTTGTAGATCTGTAATCTGAAAGTGAGATAAAGCCACAAAGGAAGAATAAGGCTGACATAGTAAGCATAGCTACTTCCTGACACAAGTTCTGCTGAAATCAATGAGAATTACTCCCAAATTAGTTCTGGGATGTACATTTCAATGGTATATGTGTGTTATTTTCCTTTTCCTTTTCTTAGGACGTTCTCTGCTACAAGTTTCACTGATGATAAACAGTATAGAAAGCTGAGTAATTTATAGGCCGTTTACCAGAAAACTTAGTTTGTTTACACATTACCCGTTATTCTGGCTCCAGTGCACTTCCACTGCTGGCTTTGAATCTGTGTACACATGATATTGGGGACGCGGGTGGCACTGTGGGTTAAACCACAGAGCCTAGGGCTTGCCGATCGGAAGGTCAGCGGTTCGAATCCCCACAATGGGGTGAGCTCCCGTTGCTCGGTCCCTGCTCCTGCCCACCTAGCAGTTTGAAAGCATGCAGTGCAAGTTGATAAATAGGTACCACTCCAGCGGGAAGGTAAACGGCGTTTCCGTGCACTGCTCTGGTTTGGTGGCTTAGTCATGCTGGCCACATGACCCGGAAGCTGTACGCCGGCTCCTTTGGCCAGTAAAGCGAGATGAGCGCTGCAACCCCAGAGTCATCCACGACTGGACCTAACAGTCAGGGGTCCCTTTACCTTAACACATGATATTACCCACAATGCAGAGCTATTGTGTAGTTTCTTGAGAAATGCTGCTATTTGACGCATTCCCCTTCAAACTGGCTTCACTCCAAAAGCAAAACTGAAGCCACATCCACTTTGCAGTTAAAGCCTGAAGTGTACATTTGAGACACTCATTGCACATGTGCAGATGACAGTGCGTGTGCAGATGACAGCTTCATGAATAGGGGTTGCAGGGGCAAAGAAACCAAACATCAGGTGTACATGAGGTGAAGACATCCCTGCCCTCTCACTGGTTTGTGTGCAGCAACATGCAAATGTGGCTTGAAACATTGGAGTGTCTGTTTGCGTGACCTTGCTACTTTTAAAGCCACTAACATGTACATAGCCTCAGGGTCAATGTATAGAGCCATATGCTCTACTCAGACTATAGTATTTTCCAAGTGGATATTGCCATACTATACCTCTTATGATCCAACTCTGCCCAAAACAGGTCACTACAGATCTTTGGTGCTTGAAAGGAAGAGGGATGAGATCAGTGGTATTATTCTAGAAAAAGAGGTGCCAGAACTCACCACGAACACCTCCCTCGTTCTCTTAGAATGGCAGTGGTGCCTACCTGAGAGGTGCTGGAACTGCGTTCTGGCGAGCCCTGGCTGAGAAAAAGCTCTGGATGGGATCACCTTGGTTGGCCAGTGCTGCACACTTTTTAAAGCGGGGGTGGCCCCTCCAAACCTCTCTAAATGGCCACACCTCCTCTCTCTAGGCCACACCCTGCACAGGCCTTGTCCTTGAGTGCTTTTGCCTGGCTGGGATGTATCCTTGAACTGTGATGACACCTCTTGCTTGCCTAGATGGAAAGGAGTGTGTCGGGAGTATGTGTAGAAACCTCTGCTGTGTTGGGCTGGAATGCAGGCTGCTGTCCAAAGGGAAAAGTCGTATCTGTTGCTCTGTGTACTTTTGCCTCTGGATTTGGCCACCACTGGCATGCAGCCCCTTCATGTATGCCTGTGAGGGGAATGCAGTCCTCAAGCTGAAAAGGTCCTTCATCCCTGCTTTTATGAATCAATGCTGACCCAGCTGATTTCCACTTTAGCTGGAAATTGCACTATAATGATTCTGTCCCTTTCACCTAGCCAGAGCCCACTGAAATGAAGATCTCTCTCTCTCTCTCTCTCTCTCTCTCTCTCTGTGTGTGTGTGTGTGTTCCTGCTTTCTTGACTCTAACAGACATAGACCAGAATGACTGCAGTATGAATGCTCCGGAAAAGAGCGTTTATGTGCGTGCACACACACAGTTTCATGCATTGCATGGGGTTAAACTAGATGACCCTAGTTCTTCAATTCTATGATTCTCTGACATCTTAGCTCCCTTCCCTTGCTTTCATATGCGCAGGGCTCTGCACTGCTCAGATTGGAAAATGCCTGCTTAATAAGGGGCATATTGGGATTAGAAGCATAGTGGAAGATATGGCAGATGGGCCGGGGGCCACAGAGGCTCCAGTCAGATGTGAGGCTTTTCCCTACAATGGGAGCATTAGTTTTCTAGCCGGAGTCCAAGGAACATTAAGGGGTTTTCTGGCAGGGGAGCGGGCTTGTAAAGAGGAGGAAAATTGCTGGCAAGGCACTTTGGAATTAGGAGCTGATGCTATTTGGGTTGTGCCTCCTTCCTTCCAGTCACCATTGGGATTCCTCTCTTGAATAATAAGGCAACTCTGATTTTATATGGAACTTGAGTGTTCATTCAAAATGCATCTCCAGATACTTAGGGAGCTAATAGGACTGGCAGAATCATCAATAATGCAAGGGAGGAGGCAAGGAAAGTGGATTAAGTATATCCACTAGGAGCACACTAGTTGATACTACTACATATCAGGGCCACCCAGAGACAGGTGGGTCTATAAAGGCCAGATGGCAGAAAAATACCACTGAAGAGAATGAAGCAGAGGGACTTGCGGAAAGCAACTTAGCTGAGAGAAGAGAAAGAGAGAGTTGCTGACCAGTTAGTTCATCATCACTATGGCATTGTGGGTTCTGTGGCTCAAGTACATAAAGACAGAAATTGAACTGTGTATCCTAAGAATTTATTTTTTTAAAAAACCCTCAAGTTTCTGGACCTTAAGGGGGAAAACCCTTCCCCAAAGATGCAGATTTTTTCTTAAGCAGTAACAGGGAAGTTAAACTGTGATGTCATAACATAACATAATGTTACAATAGTGGGTGCTACCCCCAGCCAAGCAGTAGAAAAACTCGAGGGAGTTCCAGGTACTAATCCAACATCTGTGCTCCTTTGGAGGATTGAAGATGTGGTGGAGACTGTCATAGCTTTAAGAAATGTGGTTTATTCACCTATTTACACCTTCATTCTGCGTGTAGGGAGTCTAGCTCACACAGCATGGTCATATTACGCAGGACTTGTTCCCCACAGCAGTGCAGCACTGGGGTCAAAGGCATCTCTCCCAACCAGCCTGCCCAAGATGGATCCCAGTCTTTTTTAAAATCTCCGTTCTTCCTAGCACACCTTGCTCTTTTCCCGTCACTTTGAACCCCACCCCATCACCATGGCAACTTCTCTCAGATGGGCCATCAACACCTTTTGTTCATTTTGATGCTTCTCTCCCACATGAGACCCTGCCTTGGAAAGAAAGCTTAGCCAGTGCTTTCCACTGGCCTCCAATCTTCCCTTTTGGGGTCTCAACAGCGTAAGAGTCTTGCTACATCAAGCCAATGGCCTATCTAGTTCAGCATTGTGCTTTTGTAGTGGCAAACAAGGTGCCTCTGGAGAGCACTGCCTTTTCCGGCAACCGGTATTCAGAAGCATATTACCTCTGACTGTGGAGGTAGAATGTAGTCATCAGGGTGGATAACCTTATCTTCCCAGAATTTATCTAATCCTGTTTTGAAGACATCCAAGTGGCTGGCCATCCTTTCCTCTTGTGAAAGCAATTTCCACAGTATAACAGCGAGCAGTGTGAAAAAATACTTCCTCGTCTGTCCTGAAACTTCCAGCGTTCAGCTGTCTTTGAGCATTATTTCAGCCAATGGGGCTATTTTCTGTCTCTCCCCACTCTCGTTGTAGTTATGAAAACTGCTTGATAACACTGATTTCCAAAATTTTGGGGAAATCCCCATTCAAGCCTGTTCTATCTTGGGTTGACAGCTGAAGATTTTCTGTGGACTCACCTCCTTTTGCTAGCATGGGTTTCCCCTGTGATGCATCTACCAAGTGGGAAGACCACTTCTGGGGTTGCTTTGACACATTCCACAGCTCCTCGTGTTCTGACTCAGTTCTGCGGGTCAGAGTCAGCCATGATCCGAAAATGTTTCAAAGCATTCAAAGCCAGGGGGGTGGGTGATCGTTCTAGCAGCACTTGAACATATTCTCCTACTGGTAAATATACGTGGGCTGAGGTTAAGCTGTGCTTGAGCTATTATTATTATATTTGTTGGGTTTCGTGCAATTTTATATCTGATTCCCCCACCCCTATGAGACATATTTTACAGGCTTGCTTTTCTATGTTAAATGTTTTGCTACCTATCCAGAGCCTTCAGGATGAAGTGAGATGCAATAGCTACGTAAAATGATGCATAATTATAAAACTGTCCAAGCAATGTCTGTTTCATTAATACTTTCAAATCTCTCTCTCTCCCCTCCCTTTCTCTAGTACTGGATAAATGAATACACTTCCACCTTGGGCATTGGAGTCTTTCACTCTGGGATTGAGATCTATGGCAGAGGTAGGAAGCTTTCTGCTAGTTGTGCCTGGAAATGAGTAGAACCTTCTGCTAGGTCCCAGAATTGAAGGCTGCGAGCTTCTCTGTTTTGCTGTTCATCACGGATGGGAAACTTGCCTTCTGAGGAGTGTGGCATCCATGCATGCGCAGTTGCTGTGCTCCAGTGCACAGTTTGCAACTGCCAGCCTTAAACACACACACAGATTCAAAGAAGTCTGAGATCGGAGGTAGCCATGTGGTCAAACTCTTTGCATCAAGGCAGGATTTTAAGCAGAGCAACTTCTCTGGAGATAATATCATGTGTGGCGGCTTCTGACTAAGAAGGGGGCGGTGTGCATCATGTGACTTCGCACGCACAACATGCCAGCGTCGTACATGTGATGTCAGGATGTTGCATTGTGCACGCATCATTGGGCCGAGTGCACATCCCAGCATTGCATGGGTGATGTCACACATGCATGACACATGTGTGATGTCACACACACGAGTGATGCTGCCCAATCTGGGGCACAACTTGATGCCTCTGCCACTGTGAGAACAGGATGCTGAAGTAGATGGTCCCTGGCCTGATCAATCAGGGCTGTTATTACATTCTTACGGTTGTCACGATGTTCTTTATACAGGAAGGGCAGAGTTGAGGCCCATCTGAAACCAGTTATGGGAAGATATTTGACTTAAATACTAACACTGAGCCATGTAGACAGTTGTAGCCTTTTTCAGATGCAACTTTGGTCTTATCCTTTCTTACAGTCTTTTTCTTTCCTTGTCAGAGTTTGCCTACGGAGGGCATCCCTACCCTTTCAGCGGGATTTTCGAAATCACACCAGGCAGTGCTGTGGAGCTTGGCGAGACCTTTAAATTCAAGTAAGGGCCTTTCCTTCTCCTCTCAACATCTGCTGTCCTGCAGCCCATGAATTGTCAAAAGGGCAATGCATTTTTAGGGGAGCACCTGACAACTGGTGGCAGCATTCCCACATCCCAGTAAACCACAGTTAATGAATGTGTGAATGACTCCCACGTTGCTGTTTAAATTATGTCATTAAATACACAAGATGAACAGCAACAAAAGTCTTCCCAGCATATCACCTCCTTGCAGGTTTATGTACACACTGGCTTAGCCTACACATCACAGTATACCACAGTTTATGATTTGTTTCCCTCAAACAAACCATGCTTGGTAAACCAAGATCAAACCTTGGCTTCTCAATATAGTTTGTTTGGAATGAATGAAAACTCAGCTTCTGGTTTTCAGATGTAATACTAAGCCAGGAATTGGAGTTTGTTGTTCCTACTCATGCTGACACCAGTTGCTGCACTGTTTCCTCCCTGGACCACATGTGAGGAGCCCATGCTGCAGCTTTGCCCCATGCCAACATCCTTCATCTATGACTTTCAGATGGCACTGGCTTGGGGTGCAACTATAGCATGGGATTCTCCTCCAAATGGTCTGCGACTTCTCACATTACCATCCATGGGCCAGGACATTTATTGCCAAGTAGAATGAACAGCAATGAATGTGCCAAGGACTTTGGCCCAAGAGACAAAAAATATTTGGGCAATCTGCTGTAATCACACATTTTTGTGTGCAATCACAATTTATATACATAAATGTTACCCAAGCAAGTTGTGCCATGCAGCATGATGAATCCATCTGCTAAAGGCAGCACCAGCAGGGAATACAAGAGCCAGAGTGTTTTTGTATAGTCCCCCAAACTTCCACTATAGTGTCCTCTTAAACAGATATGTCACTGCATCCAGTCCAATGCTTCATTCATGTACAAAACCCTATATGGTATAGACCTCGGTTCCATTTAAAAATTTATCTCTCACCTCAAATTTTAAAGCTAGAATGTAAATTTAGAAAAGTGCACGTTGAGGCAGACTTATGAAAATGAGCCAGGCTTTTGCATTTCCAGAGGAGGGGGTCTTGACTACCCAAATCATCTCCTTAATGCTCCCCCCATTGGTTTTCTGGTGCATAAGTTGCTGATGCAGAGGCTCAAGAATGGAGAGCTTACAAGAAATATTACAAACTCAGCCCTGTTGCATGTACCATTAAACATTTTTAAATTATGTGAAGTTTAAACCCCAAACTATATCAGTAGAGCTCAAACCTACACTCTGTTTAGCATATTTTTCTCTCTCTTTCTCTTTTAAAAGAGAATATAAAAATAGATTATGCTAGTGCTATATCCTGTGTGCATGGCAAGAATGGTTTCTAATTAATTGTGTGAGGTTATTGTGTTGTTTTTAAGCTGAGCACTATCTGAATTACTTTCTAAGCTGTTTAAGTCTGTAGCATTACTCTGTTCCAACATTCCATAAGGACTCCATCCTTGGCTCTATCTGCCAGGTAAAATATATCTGTACTACAGTGTCTCTCTCCTGGGCTGCCTTAACATCTTTCATGATTATCTTGCTGAATGTTCCCTGCTTTTGATGCTTACCTTTGCTTAACCCAGAGAATCCATTGCCTTGGGCACTACAGACTTTACAGAAGAAGATGTGGATAAAATCATGGAGGAACTGGGCAAGGAGTACAAGGGCAATGCCTACCATCTCATGCACAAGAATTGCAATCACTTTTCAGCTGCTCTGGCAGAGGTTGGTTCATCTTCCATTCTGTTTCTGTGTAGTGTACTTGTATGGCACTTTGGCCTCCAGCCGTGAACAGGTCTCTGATCAGAAAATTGTTCTTCAATCACCCTTCGCACTAGCCTGATGGGCATTTACCCTTTGAGAGCTTTTACAAGCATAGCACTGAGTGGTAGTTGGTCTACAATGGGTAATTAGGCGGCTATGAGGGTGGCCATAATGTATCTATGTACAAGTAGAAAGACACAATCAATGTAGCTCTCCTATTCGGATGTTCAATGCATAGGGAATCTCCAGATTTAGGGAGGAAAAGGTATGGGACAGCAGTAGCTGGAGGAGAGCACTGCGTGGATGAAGGGCAATTAAAGGAGTCACAAGGGGCTCACAATCCACATTGTGCCAAAGTATGGACAGGTCTTGAGTTGAGTTACTTCTGTACCGCTGCTTCCTATTCTTTGCCTGTTTGCATTGCAAATACGATAGCCATACTTCTCATTGGTTACCCTATCAATCAGCACAATGGTGCCTTGATCTCACTTGATTTGCAAGAGTACAGTGAGCTGTACCCTTACATTACATTATAGGGCCTTTGGAGTAGTAGTAGTAGTAGTAGTAGTAGTAGTAGTAATAATTCTTATACCCCGCCCATCTGACTGGGTTGCCCCTGTCACTCTGGGTGGCTTACAACAAAATACAGCATCAAACGTTAAAAACTTCTCGAAACAGGCCTGCCATTAGGGATGGGGGGGGGAGGCAATTAGCCTTGAGGGGAGGGGACTCCCATTAGTATCAGGTCATCCATAGGCCAGAAAAGTTTGAAACAGCAGCACAGGCTCAGCTTTTTTCATGGCTGCTCTGCCCCAGAATGGATATGCCATTTGGGGCCCCAGTCTTCACCATGCAAATCCTTCGGTATTCCTCCTTTGCACTAGGAATGAAAACCGAAACCCCTGGGCACAAGACCTTTGACCAGAAAGGCACTTGGTGATCAGCTGATGTTTCCCCTGCTCCCTTTTGTAGTTGCACAAATTAATGCTGATTACTCATCAGTTCCTCCTGATTGCTGCTCCCAGCCGCTCCCCTTGGCAATGCATCCTTGAGATGAAGTGTCCATAATTAGGAAATTGATTAGGAGCCACAAACTTGCTTTGTTTGAAAGGCATCCTTCTTGAAATCACAGAGTAGAGCTGCTCTCACTAAAAGAGCTGGTCCTGTACTTTCCACTTTCAAAAGGGGGGGGGGGGGGGAATCCAACATGGCCCTGCTCTCAACTGTGATATCTTTCAGATTTGTATGTGCAATCCATATGAAGTGTCATAGAAAAGGTCATAAACTGCTGTTATCACACAGCAACTCCCCATTCCCTGAGCTATTTATGTGTCTCCTGACTGCTATAAAACTGTTCTGCATTTTTTTTAACATAATGAAAGAGGCAGAGAGGAAAAGGCCGAATCAGTCATTCCGACCTGTTCGGCAGCCTCTAAGGCCCCAGGTGAAAGAATTGCAAAACTTTTGACAGCTGGGTATATTGCTTGTCACACTGTAGCTGTGAATAATGAAGTCTGATGGTCCCTTCTGCTTAACCCTTCCCCTGCCATCACTTTTCCACTGGCTTTCCCTTCTACTTTCCCTTCCACTTTTCCCTGTTCCCCCCGTCCCCGTCCCCCACACTTTTAGTCCTATGAGGTTTTAAACTCATACTTGCAAGGTAAACAAGGTTTGGGACACTGGTGGGTTGGCTGGCATCCATCTGTCTTAGGAGGCAATGGAACAGTGTGCTTTCAGAGGTGAAGTCAAACTGTTGGAGAGTTACTGCAACTGGAGAGGGCTGCAGAAGGAAGGCAACTGAGAGGGGAAAGGGTTAATCACCTGCTTCCCTGCCAGATGCATAGTCCCCTCCCCAAAGGCACTTTGCAATGGAAAAGGGGTTGGTAGGGTTTCATTCCATGTGGGTACAGCTTAGCTGTGTAGTTTAATAAGTCAAATTACTCAGGTATACCTGAGCTGCATTTCCTCTGAAGTCTTTGAGAGGGGAAATGGGCTGTGTAGGCGTGTGATGTCTTCTTTTCTTCCCGGACTCTGTGGGATGTCGATTCAGAACGTTAAGCATCTTGAGGCATTTTCTAAATTGCCATATCATCTCTCTCAAACCAAGAAGATGCATTTTAAGTTGGAAGTAATTATATTTCAGGCCAGGATTCAAGTGCAATTATTATTTTGAAGGTTCCTTTCCCCCACATTGTCTTCTTGGATTTGATTGATAGAGTGACTTGTGGAAAGTATTTGCATCTTAACAACTGGAGCCACTTCTCTTCCTACGGCACTGGCATGTTTCTCATTTTGGGAGTTGTATCCTTTGTGATAGCAGTGAAGACTGGTCCATGAGTTTGTCCTCAGCCAGGCCCCACCTGCCTACCTTTTTACTTACTTCCAGGCCAGAGGGTGGCCAGAGCAGTCAGTTCCCTCTTCCTTAGTCTCACACTTGCCCTTGCAGAACCCAACAATGAAGAGGATGGAGACAAGCTCAGTCAATGAGACTCTTAATTTCAGGATCGTTTGTTCAAGCCCCACATTGGGCAAATGTATCCTGCATTGCAGGGGGTTGGACTAGATGGTGCTTTTGGTCCCTTCCAACTCTGTGATTCTATGAAAAACTAGAATTAGCTGGCTCTGCTGTCATTGGCTCTGGCTCCACCTACTGTTGGCCTCCTTGCCTTCTGCTCCGCCAGTCTCAATGGGCACTAGCCATACTACTCTGTGGTAGTTTTGCATGAGCAGAAAGAACTTTCACTCATGCAAGTTGTGGTACCCAATTTCCACCTACCTTGTTGTGCAATGTCTCTTTAAAAGACAAGCTGGAAGGTTTCACTTTTGCAGTTGAATCCTGTATGAGGGCCCTCTCATACTCTCCAAGTAGCCCAATATTCCTGGTACAATCCCGGAATTATGTGCTGGGTCCCATTCGTGTAGTGGTGGTGGCAATAGGAAAGGAATCAGAAGCCCTGGGAAATAGCATTTCGCCATGGATATGGTTCCTAACGTGGTGCTGTGGCCTAATGACAGCTGACACAGAAGTCTTTCTCATTGCTGCCATCACTGCCAGCAAAGTTTCAGTGGCTAAGGGAAAGGGACAGCTGCAGCAATGAGCGTGATTGATAGTAATAATAATAATTATAATAATATTTTATTTTATTTTATATTTTATTTATTTATTTATTTATTTATTTTATTTATTTTAATTTATTTTATTTTATTTTATTTTATTTTATTTTATTTTATTTTATTTTATTTTATTTTATTTTATTTTATTTTATCTTATTTTATTTTATTTTATCTTATTTTATTTTATTTATACCCCACCCATCTGGCTGAGTTTCCCCAGCCACTCTGGGCGGCTTTCAATCAAGTGTTAAAAACAATACAGCATTAAATATTAAAAACTTCCCTAAACAGGGCTGCCTTCAGATGTCCTTTAAAGCTGCTTATTTCCTTCGCATCTGAAGGGAGGGCGTTCCACAGGACGGGCATCACCTACCGAGAAGGCCCTCTGTCTGGTTCCCTGTAGCTTCACTTCTCGCAATGAGGGAACCACCAGAAGGCCCTTGGAGCTGGATCTCAGTGTCTGGGCTGAATGATGGGGGTGGAGACGCTCCTTCAGGTATACAGGACTGAGGCCGTTTAGGGCTTTAAAGGTCAGCACCAACACTTTGAATTGTGCTCAGAAATGTACTGGGAGCCAATGCAGATCTCTCAGAACCGGTGTTCTGTGGTCCCGGCAGCCACTCCCAGTCACCAGTCTAGCTGCCGCATTCTGGATTCATTGCAGTTTCCGGGTAGCCTGAATGTTGGAAGGGTTTGGGATTATGTGGAAGTTCCAAACTGGGAAAGTTCGTATTCTGCACTCTCCAGTTCTGAACTTTGGCTGCATTACTATATCTAGAAGACTTACAGGCCTTGTTTTTAATACAGTTTGGTAAGCACAAGGCCAATAGGTGCCAGATCAGCTTTCCCAAATCACTTGTTCAAGGTCAATACCAAGCTGTAATACATAACATCTTATATCTAGCACAGTGTAATCATAATACTCCTTTAGCCATTAATTGTGGCTGTTCTGACAGTGGCCATGGAGCAGCACCTACTGGGATAGGGGGAGAAAATCCATTTTGTGCCAATGCAGTAAACTTGCAGCTTACTGTAAGATGACTTACAGTTGTTCATCCATTCAGAGTGAAAGCCATTATTCTCAAGTGTCACCAGTAATCTTAGTCTTAATTATAAGCAAGCCTTCCCCAGAGAGCCACTTGTTACCTTCCCTGTCATCCTGCAGCTGCTCCCTGTACTTAAAAATCTTCATCTCAAGGACTTTCATGCATAAAAAAGCAGAACTGCATTTCAACCAAAGAACGAAGCTCTTTGGATCGCAGAAGTGTGGGGACTCATGCATATTGCAAGGGTGTCAGGTTTGCTTCTCTGAGCCCTTATTGGCTAGACTGCCCTTCCCCAGCCTGGTGTCTTCAAGGTGTTTTGAACTCCAGCTCCCATCAATCCCAGCCAACATGGCCAATGCTCAGGGGTGATGGGAGCTGTAGTCTAAAACATCTGGAGGACACCAGGCTGAGGAAGGCTGGGTTAAGCTGCAGTTATTCACATTGATGAGCTTCCCTGATCTATTCAGAGGGGCAGGTTTAAATTTTTGGAGCCCAGAGCCTGAAGAACTTTGACTCACCACAGCAGCCTACTTGAATTTATACCCATTCTATTTTAAAAAACTAATAATCAGAGAAACTTACAGTGAAAAAACAAGGTAAGAGGGGGAAAAATACACATAAAAACAGCAATCATTAAAGCAATAATATTAAAACTTCAGCAAAAACATCATCAAACATCCAAAGAAAACAGCGATCACCGATCACCGATTAAAAGCTGGCTTCCCTTCAAAGTGCGGAAAGACAGGGAGGAAGTCTAGTGAATTGCCACTGAGTGGGGCCACTGCTGAGAAGGCTCTGCCTCTTGTATCCACCCGCCTATGTGGATGGGACAGGCAGTCTGGTTTTGTAGGGGATCAGGCAGTTTCTGAGGTAACCTGGTTCTAAGCCGTTTAGAGCTTCTTCTTACAATCTAGAATAGGCCTTCACAACATTTGCCCTACAAAGCCCCCCATAGCTTACTAGGGGGCATGTTTGAGACATGTTGTTGCACATGCTTTTCCTGCTAAAGGTCCCAAGTTAAATCTGTGGCATCTCCAGGGAGGGCCAAGTTAGGCCTCTGTCTGAAACCTTGGAGAGCCACTACTTGTCATTGAAGAAAATACTGAGCTCAGTGGAGAAATGGTCTGATTTGGTGTGTGACACCTCACAATAAGAACATAAGAGCCTGCTGGATCAGGCCAATAGCCCATGTAGTCCACTATCCTGGTTTCACAGCAGCCAGCCAACCAGATGCCATGGTTTCCAACAACTAGTATTCAGAAGCATTTCTGCTTCTGACCTATGTTCTGTGTCACACAGACCACAAGGCATGACTGGTCAGATGCTTTAGCTTTGGTTAAGAAGTTGTTCAGGCCTGTTCTATAGAAACTGAAGCCCCAGCCAGGAGGTGATCTGGCAGGCCTACGTTAGTTCCACAAAATCACAGTCCTAGAACAGGCAGAGATGTTACCTTCTTTAGATCAACTTCCAAGCAGAAAGCCAGATGACTGCAGAGGTCTCTAGGCCAGCTACTGTTGGCTTGGTTTCAGAAGCTTTCTAGTTCTCCCTTTTCTCGCCGTGGGATCTTGTTTCACAGCAGGCATTGCAGGGCTTGCCTCTCCACTCCTGCTCATTTGCCATGCTCTCTCAGCGCTGCAAGATGAAGGCCGTTCTGTCCCTAGAGCTTGCGTGTAGAATGGATTTTATGGCCTGTTGCCACTTGCGTAGTTTGTTTTGTTACTTCTTGTAGGTCTTCTGTTTCCCTCTTCAGGGAAGTGTATGGTCTTCCCTTCCTTGACCCCACTGCCTGCAGTAGATGTTGAACAAATCCAGTTTAGGACTGTATTCTGGTGGTATGTGGGCATGTTCGTATTTAAACGAAGTGATGAGTATGTTTTATTTCCCGGAAATCTTCCATATAGGGCATGAGTAGGGAAACTAAGGCCTGGGGGCCAGATCTGGCCCAATCGCCTTCTCAATACAGCCCGCGGACGGTCCAGGAATCAGCGTGTTTTTACATGAGTAGAATGTGTCCTTTTATTTAAAATCCAGCTCTGGGTTATTTGTGAGGCATAGGAATTCGTTCATTCTTTTTTTTCAAAATATAGTCTGGCCCCCAACAAAGTCTGAGGTACACTGGACCAGCCCCCTGCTGAAAAAGTTTGCTGAGCCCTGATATAGGGGGATTACACAGTTTAGGTTGCAAGTGGTGGTTTTGCCAGGACAAAACTGTAAGGTCCAGAGCCCTGCTCAGCAAACTGAGCAGGAAGGCCGCCTAACACAACAGGGCAAGCAGTGTCTGTTTAAAATAAGAGAAGTAGTACACACCCTCTAAAGCAGGAGTACTGAATCTTTCCTGGCCTGAAGGCCACTTTCACCTTTGACCAACCTTCTGGAGTCCACATGCCAGTTGCAAAGGTGGACATAGAAGTCTTCCACAAGCACCCTCACATGCACACACAGACAGACAGACAGACATTCAGGCACACAGCCACCCATTCCTTAACTGATCCATGCAGCTACGCTGAGGAGGGGGTTATGGTTATTACCTTCGCTCTGCTCATGACATGATCGATCTAATGACCAGGAAGGGTAAGCTGTATGCTCATCAGGTTGCTGCATCCCACTCACTCCAGCACAGTGTCTGCTTTCATTAAAATCTTTTGCAGTTGCTGTCGCCAAAGTCAGCAGGGTCTTGCGGTGGGGGGGTGGGGGAGGTGTCCAGAAAATTTTTTTATGAGTGGGGGAGACTCACAAATCAAAGGTTAGATCTCCTGATCTAAAGAGTGGCCCCCATGAAACCATTAAGTCCAAAGTCTCAAATTACCTGACTGCAACCCCAATCACAAGTTGCCCAAATAGTTGAAATGCCAACTTGCCAAGTGTTTTCCTCTTTGCTTTCGGGGTTTATGTGACACTTCCACATGGTCTGTGTGCTTCACTTCCAAAATAGAACGTTGCAGTGATATGTGGCATCATTTCTCTCCCACCTCCCCACCCTAGCTGTCAACGTTTCCCTTTTTTTAAGGGAAATTCCCTTATTCTGAACAGGATTCCTTGCAAGAAAAGGGAAAAGTTGACCGCTATGCTCCCCACCCCTGGACACATGAACAGGCATGGGGAAGTGACCGTGTGAAGAGCAATCACCTTTCATCAGGCACCTATGATATAACGGTTACCTGTTGTTGTCGCTCTTCTGTCCATTTCCCCCAGATCCTGTGTGGGAAGGAAATCCCCCGTTGGGTGAACCGCCTGGCCTACTTCAGCTCCTGTATTCCCTTCCTGCAAAGCTGCCTGCCCAAGGAATGGCTGACTCCAGCAGCCCTGCAGAGCCACATCAGCCTTGGTCTCCACAAGGAAGAGCAGGGAGACACCACCGACGAGGAATCCCCGTCCACTTCCGCAGCGGCCTCCGCCTCAGGCCCTTCACGGACCTGCAGACACACAAGAGTCTGAACTGTGCCTGGAGGAGCCGCCCTGCCCAGCCTCTGCCTCTGCCCCATTGCCTGGTCACTTGCCATTGACATCCTTCTCCGAGGACACTGGACAGCCTCGCCTCTCAAGGAGAAGATGAACACCCTTGCCTCTTTTTTAAAGGACAGCTTGTTTCTCAGCTGCGTCACTCCAGAACTCCGTCAAAGAGTGTGGGGTTTAAGCTCCTGAGGCTAGGTGGTACTCTTTGATTTTAAATACACAAAACGAAACAAAAACTGCTGGAATCATGGGAATGTGGCACAGCAGGCCTGAAGGGAAGCCACACGGAGAAGTCCCTTACCTGGGACTCTTTTAATCCCCTGCCTCCTCCAGCAGTGACCACAAAAACACCTTCTCTCCTGTTTTTCTGAGGTGGCAACTTACCCATAGTGCACCTCTTTTAAGTACCAAAATCAGAGCTTACCTTTCTCACCCCAAGACCAGCAACAAGCTCCAGTTAATTCTCTTATCTCCTCAGTTTTCTTTCTTTTTGTCATCACCAGGTTCTAAAAACCATCTGAAGGATAAATGAAAGGTGCTGCCCTTCTACCGCCGCAGATTAAGATTATGATTATTATGATTATTTTGTGAGTTAGAATATTGTATAAGAGACCGAAGGACTTGTTACCCTTCAACTACAATAGCAAAATTAATCTAAAAAAAAATATGAATGTGTGAGTCTGACTTTTTATTTATTTATTAGAGCGAGTGAGAGGAAGACACACAATAGTCAAGTTTGTAACTCCTTTCTGAGCAGAGGTTCTCAGGCCTTTAAATCCAGGGGTTTAATCTCAGGTCTTTAATCCGGGAACCTGTGTCCCTCTAGCTGTGGCTGGATTATAACTGCCAATGCAGAGCTAGCTACCAAAACAGAGTCACAGCTCCTATTTAAGGCTCTGACTGAGGATGACTGCAAATATAGTAACTTCTGAGATAGGGTCTCATGAAGCCTTCAGCCTGAGCCCAGCATGGAGCTGTCCTGAATACGTACCTAAGCGGGGGCCGGTGCTCAGAACAACAAAAGCACCACTTCTTAAGACTTTCTCCCTAGGGAAATGTTGCTCCACCTGCACTCCCCACACAATCAGGTCCCAAGTTCAATCCCTGGGATATCCAGGTAGTAAAGACCTCTGTCTAAGACTGGCAGTCAGAAAACTCTATACAGTGGTACCTTAGTTGTCAAACTTATTCCGTTTCGGGAGTCCATTCGACTCCCGGAACAGTTTGAAAACCAAGGTGCGGCTTCCGATTGGCTGCAAGAGCTTCCTGCACTCAAGCGGAAGCTGTGGAAGCTGCGTCAGACGTTTGGCTTCCAAAAAACGTTCGCAAACCGGAACACTCACTTCCGGTTTCGCAGCGTTTGGGAGCCAATTTGTTTGACACCCAAGCTGTTCGACAACCAAGGTACCACTGTACTGAGGTGGCTAGACCAATGGGCTGAAAGCAGCTGAAAATATGTTAGGTTTGGCTTTTTTTTTTTAAAAAAAGGTAAGGCAAATAGAACTGTACATTCCAGAGGCAAAGGTGGGCAGTTCCTGCATACAGAGAGCCAGTGTGGTGTAGTGGTTAAGAGCGGTAGTCAAGTAATCTGGGGAACCGGGTTCGCATCTCCGCTCCTCCACATGCAGCTGCTGGGTGACCTTGGGCCAGTCACACTTCTTTTAAGTCTCTCAGCCCCACTCACCTCACAGGGTGTTTGTTGAGGGGGAGGAAGGGAAAGGAGAATGTTAGCTGCTTTGAGACTCCTTCGGGTAGTGATAAAGCGGGATATCAAATCCAAACTCTTCTTCTTCTACAGCAGGTTACCTGCCAGTCCTGCAAAAGCCATAGGTTTCATATATATATGCACTCATGCATGCATCACCATCCTCCATCCAGGAAGGAAGAGGCAGCATCACAGTTCCAGGGCACATTCCAGCCAGGCAAAAGCCCTTGAAGAGAGTGTGCAGCATGGCTCCTGGGAAGGGTCCTGAGAGCTGAACAGACAGAACTAGAAGGCCGCATTTGGCCCCGAAGCCGAAGGCTCCCCACCCCTGATTTATATAATGATGTGTTGGTTCCTTCCTTCCAATCCTTTCCCTAATCATACCTAGCATGGTTTTGTTCATTCCCTGCATTCCAAAGTGTCCTTTTCCTTGAGCTTTGTACTGTGACCCCCCAATATCTCATTCTTTGGCAAAGTGCTTTAAGCGGGAGAAGATGCCGTCTATGTAGCAGCTCTGCGGGTGAGACCCCTTGGTCTCCACTGCTGGTTACACCACTGAGACGTCTTATTCTAGCTGTGAAGACTGCCAGTTTTTTTTTGCAAATTAAATCTTCAAATGCTAAGAAGAGCCCATAGGATGAGATGCAGTGGAGGAGTGGCAAGATTACAAATGGTCCAAGGCAGCCCAGGCTAGACAGGAACAAAGTAAGCTGCCTTGCATCAGGCCTCTAGTTCATCTTCCTCAGCATGTGTGGGGCAGTGGCAGACTTTGGGTTTTTTAATTTCAGCAGCACCCTGTGCAACGCCAAATCCTACCCTCCAGCCGCCTTTCATCATCTGTGGTTTGTCATTGTTGCAGCACTCCTTGCAGTGCCCTCTTAGCTTGATACCCAGTGCCAATGAAATGGTCATGCTCCCCTAAATCAGGGTGGGGGGTGGGCAGGAGAGCAGGGAAGTCTAATTTCTCCAGCGTAAATTCGTGCGCTGACAGGGTTCTTACTCTGTGCCGCTGCATTAAATACAAGCCTGTACAAGCTTCATTTTCTTTCCTGGTCGTAAAGGTAGGGTTTCCATATGTCCAGAATTTCCCATTAGAAACATGTCCTGGTGAAAATCGCAACCTATGTCGAAAGTGTAAATTTTGGCAAATTTCCTTAAGAAATTCATGATGGTATTATTATTATTATTATTATCACTTTTTGAAATATGGCAACCCTAGTAAAGGGGTTTCAGCCTGAGTGCACACTAGCCCCTGGGTGCAGACATCAGTTATTGCTCAGGTTCTGATGTTTAGAGAAGGGCCATTGCTCAGCCCTGGGGCATCTGCGTTCCATACAAGGTCCCAGGTTCAATCTCTGGCATCTCCAGGTAGGGCTGAGAGAGACATCCTGCCTGAAACCTGGAGAGCCACTGACAGTGTAGACAACACAGTGGTACCTCGGGTTACAAACGCTTCAGGTTACAAACTCCGCTAACCCCCAAGTAGTTGCTCCAGGTTGCAAACTTTGCCCCAGAATGAGACTGGAAATCAAGCGGTGGCAGCAGCAGGAGGCCCCATTAGCGAAAGCGCGCCTCAGGTTAAAAATGGTTTCGGTTTAAGAACAGACCTCCGGAATGAATTAAGTTTGTAACCCGAGGTACCACTGAACTGAGCTTAGGTGATCTGCCTCAGTATAGCACAGCTTCCCATATTCATAAATCCTAAAGCTTCTATTTGTAGTACGAGGAGTGTCAAAAAATGACAGATGAATCTTGATGGTGGACTGGGATTTTTTAATTGAAAAAAATATTTTTAATACTTATAATCCAACCACAGGTTCCGAAGTGGAAATACATACATGCATACACACATACATACATACACACACACATACATACATTGTTAGGCTTTTCAACTTGTGAGATGGAAACATTTCAGCTGGCCTGATGGAAGAACCCCGCTCTTCTCCCTCTTCAGTCCTGTTCCGGGGGCTTTCCTGATCCTCTTGAACCATCAGAGGGTTTTTCAGAAGAGGTTGGATGGTCATCTGTCATTGATGCTTTAGATGAGATTCCTGCATTACAGGGGGTTGGACTAGATGACCCTCAGGGTCCTTTGCAACTCTACAATTCTAGGATTCTATGAATTTTGTGGGGCACAGAGTGGGAGGAGAAGGGGGGGGGAACCCTGTGGTGCAAGTAGAAGTCCTTCTACAGAGCTTCTGCTAATGAGACTCATTGATGCCACTAACTTCAAAAACTGAAAATGTAAAACAGCAAGAAGGCACAGTTCAAAAGACAAATGAAAATATAATAGTGGCGGCAAAAACATAAGTGTGCCCAATGCACCTCAACCCTGCCCAAAGAACCTGGGCAAAGAGGTGCGTCCTCACTGGGTGCCAAACAAAAATCATTGTGGGGATGAGGCACTCCTCAGAGGGAGGCCGTTCCAAAGGTCACTGCAAAGAAAATTCACCAGCAGGCCTTCACCACAAACCTCATTACATGCAGGAACCACTTTTAGGGCTTTCCCTGGAGGTCTTTGGGCAGGTTGGTCTAGAACAGGCATCCCCAACCTGCGGCCCTCCAGGTGTTTTGGCCTACAACTCCCATGATCCCTAGCTAACAGGACCAGTGAGCAGGGATGATGGGAATTGTAGTCCAAAACATCTGGAGGGCCGAAGGTTGGGGATGTCTGGTCCAGAAGGAGCCATTCTTTCAGTTATTTGAGGAGCAAGTCATTTAGGGCCTTAAATGTCACGTTGAACACCTTAAATTGGTCCCAGGAGGAATTTCCAGGAAGTCAGTTCTGGAGATAGCTGGAAATTCACGTCCTCATGGGCTTCAACTCCCGTACCCTGATCTTGGCAGTGTTGCAGTATAACTTACTCATAAGTAGGGATGGGGTGGAAATTTGATTTTGTTTGCATTTTGATGAGCAACCACCTAATTAGCATACTTTGAATCAACACGCAAACAAAAGCGCAAGTGTGCTTTGAAATTCACACTTCTCCAAATTTTGTAATGCAGTTCTCCAAGCATATAGTAGGGAAATGTTTTTTATAAACATGTTTACGCTTATGAAAATA